CACAGGTTGGGAATGCTGTTCTCTAGCAATAGGATAAACGTAGTTCCCCCAGTTGCTCCAGGACCCCGGGGCACTGCCATTAAGTCACAGGAATTGGAATATAAAGATCTCCCAAGGACTACAGATGACACAGCAATATACAGCAGATGTTAAAAGATTAACACTTGAAGTTATATTTAAAAAAAAAAAACAACCAAAAACCCACACACACAAGTAGGGACGACAGTAAAAATGCCGGACTGCAGAACTCACAATGATACAGCAACTACACCTCCTTAAAAGCCTTAGCAGTGCTTTCAGTTTACAAAATACATCAGGACAATAGGCAGAAGTGTCCTATTTCTCCTCTTGCTAAAAGTAAACACCATGGCTAAATACATCTCCCTCCCAGGAGGCTTCACACCTGCTTACACTAACTGCGTAGCAAAGAAATCTCCCAGGTTCCAATAATCAAACACGAAGATCTGTTCGGCTTCAAACACACCTCTTGTGGATTAAGCTACCAACAGCCACCCGGTATCTGGCCACTGGGAAACACCTTACTTTGCTAAGATAAATAGTAATCAAGATAAAACCGGGCAAGTATCTGTTTTCTTTCTGAGTAGGTTAAAATCTGAACATCAGTTCAATTCTACCTTATTTCGTCTGCACGCTGATTCATGAAGCCCGTATCTGCCTTCATTTTACAACTCTTATTTTTGCAGAAGCTCCTACAGTGATATTAAAATTCAGTAACCTGAACATAATATAGGTATTATTCAAAACAGCACATTTTCTGGGTATTCCATACACAATGTTACTAAATGAATACAAAAATCATCTTTCTTTTCTGAAAAAGTATATGCTACCAAAAAATCATACCCGATGACAACACAGATGAAAAAAAATTAGCCCAGATTCAAGGTATATTTTCCAGAGATCCAAACTCACTCCATCTGTACTGGGGGAAGTTTTCTAGACACCGTTCAACCCAAGCTAATAAGCACTACGAAAAAATCGGGATTACTTCAGGCTCAACATGACAGTACCTGAACTCAAATTGCTACGTTTGAAGGAGGGGTGGGGGGACAGAAATATCAAAATTACCCTCCTACCCAGGCAGCTAAGTGCTGCTTCTGACCATTTGTAAGATAACATGAAGGGAAAAAAAAAATAAATAAAAAAAAATCAATCTCTGCATTACTAGCACACTCACTTCACAAGATGAGACTATACTGTGCATCATTCATTACCTGTAAGCACATCATGGGTTTGGGTTGAAAGAGAGTAATAATTTGAAATACAGAACAGAAAAAAATATTACAACTGCTTTAGTACCTCTGTGTTTACCAACTCTGCTTACTTTCTACGTAACTGCACAATTTACTTTCTTCAATAAGACCTGCTCCTTAAACAAGACACATTCATAGAAATGTTCATAAATCGTGGCTTACAAATAGTGTTATAAATGTCCTTTAAACCCTTTCTTTCTCAAATTATTTTGTTTATACTTTAGTAACAAATTTCTAGCCTAGCAAGGATAAAAAAACAACCCTCATCATCATCAGTGCCTCATTAATCCTTCACAACATAATAATAATTATGAAAAAATAATTCTCAAGCAACAGTACACTGAAGTTCAGATCACTGTGCAATGCGAGTAGTACCATCTTCCCTCACCCACAAAACTTTCCACATTTGTAGACTACAGCATCCATAAAATAAACCATTGTGAAGAGCAAAACTTCAGTGTCCATACTGATTATAACTACTTAAACCAAGCACATTGTTACAATTACTATTATTATTGTCCTGCCAAATACATCACTTTATGTAAGAAACTTATAAAACATTTTCAGCTTGACTGCTTTACTACATAATTAGTATTTTTGCTATATAGGTGTCAGTCCTTCAGAAATTTGCAAAATTATGTCTGTGAAGCAGCACAATAATGGGGACATTTAACACATTTGTTCTATAGCTCAAGATAGTTCACGAAAACTCATGACTTAGGACCCCCTGCAAGTGTTAAGTGCCCAGCTCAGGAATCTACGGAAGGATGAAATCTCTGACCTTGGTAAGGGTATAACTCAGAACAAACAACTCCAATTTCCAGCCTTGCTGTTAGACAACAATGCTGCATCTGCTGGCTGAGGCACAGCATCCTGACAGACTGCAAAAGGATGGTGGATTTTTATACTGTGTTCTCATGAAATCCAAAGACGAAAGAAAAATACTGTTTATGCCTGAATTCATGACAAACAGTTGCAGCCCCATTAATTCCATCTCCAGTCATTCAGAAAGCTGCAAGTCAGGATCCAAAATTATCATCAAACTGACTTGAAAGAACTGTTGGGGAGAGATATTTTTTTAAACTTTGTATTTCAGTGTTCGTGCTTGCCAGTACCCTTCCCGGTGTTTGCAAGCTCCTATTCTGCTACTACCAATAATTCCAGAAGCAAAATGTTTATGGAAAAACACCGTGCAAATATGGCATGATCAACTACAGCTAGTTGCACCATACACGAGAGGACAAAAAACATGACTCCATGTTTTCATTTTTAAATACGAAAGAAATACAGTAAACATGTGATTACAGCAATTGGGGAAAAAAAAAATAGCCTGGATTAGAGATCCTCTTAATTTTAACCATGTAATAGGCTACTAGTAGCATAAACAAACACATTTTTAAAATTAGTTCACAATTTCCCTTCTTATTAAAACAGGAAAAAAAGGTTTCACTACTTCCTATCGCAAAACCAATACAAACACTGGTTTAGATATTTCCTTTTCAGATGCTTTTTAAGTACTTACAAAGAGTAAAATACCGACTTTTTGCAATTGAAACTGGGCAAGGTATTAGATCCTAAAACGAAACTTTCAGTACCTCTTAAAAAGAGATAAATCAGTATTGTTTATACAAAAAGTGGAGAGAACTGGCACAACACCTATTTTTCACAACCCTTTTTTTCATATACATTGTAGTCGTCACCAAAACAGCTCTGTAGAACACAGTGTACAGCACACATCGTGCCTCGTCATGAGCTGACAGCAATTGAAGAGAAGGTGAACTAAGTTACAAAATGAAGTATTTTTTTCCCCCTCTAGCCGTCTGAGAAGATAAATGATCTTAGTTATATTAAAGAGAAAAGGGATATGGGATCCAAAAGGGCTCATTTTACGTTAACTGCATCTCACCAACAAAAATAGAGAAAGCAATTTCCTGGTGCATCAATTTCACGTACACTCAAAAAAATCAGAGATGCTGGCACGCTCTGCTCCTGCACACCTCCTGGTAGTCTCAAATCTCTTACAAACCAACTGCTCCCTATTAATTTCCTATTTTAAGGTAGGGTTTGTTGTTTTGGGTTTTTTTTTCCCCCCCAAAAAAATACAAAGATATGCAGATAAGCCTGTAAAAACCAAGTATACTACCCGGGTTGAATCAACATATTTCTGCAGGTAACAGCGTTTTGAATGACTCCTGTAACCAACACAAACCAACTGCTCTCCACAGGATATGCCAAGTACGGCCAACTACCACCCCAGTGGTTCCACCAGCCCTCACCAGTTTCAGAGCCATTGCCCCTCCTGCTGTTTTAGGGCCAGATTCTCGACTCAATCAACGCCAGCCAGTATCTGGAAACTCTCATCACTTCAGATGAAAAAAAAAAAAAAAAAAAAAAAAAAAAAAAAAAAAAAAAATCAACTCATGAAGTTACGATGGAACAGAACTGAAAGCACATGAAGCATCATAAACCATCCTCGATCCATGTAACAGACTAGACCAGCACAAAACTGCGAACTGTATCTTTCCATCCTCCTTCTCATGTTCTGCATTTATAGGGCATTAAAATACTACTACTACTACGAACAGAAGACGACTTTCTAGTGCAACTCCAAAGCAGCTTTAAGTATCTGTGCACAGTCCTTCCCATTAGCTGCATCTCTCTCCTCTTCCTGATCTGTTCTCGTTCATCTGCTGCTACTTAACTCCTTAAGGCTTACTCTAAACCAAAATATCTCAGCGATCTAGAATAGCAGTCTTCCTTTTTTTTTTTTCCCCTTCCCATCTTGTCAGCCCCAGAATCTTTAGCAGTGCAGAAATCCGCATAATGAACAGAAGGCTACAGAAAGCAGATGTCCGTTCCTCTGTCGCTTCCTACTGACCCAGGGAAAAGTTGTTTGCAGACGGCTGGGGTCCACTGCCTGCAAGCTGAAAGCCACTGATCTAGAACTGAGTATCCTCTTACTGTTTGTTCTGCCACCTGAGAAGTTACATTAAAATGGCATTACGTTCCTCAACTCCAAACTGACTAGTCTTTCTTCATGCAGCCTACCAACAACCATTCCCCTCCAGAGCTTTCCATTAAAATTCTGTTTCCAGAAACGAAGAACCGTGAAAAACGAAAACACCATCATTTTAGATACCTTCACTTTGCCACAGATTCGGACGCGGCACAAGTCCTTCACGTTAAAGGCTGCCCAACCTACCTATAAATAGGCTCAAGGCTTCGGGCTCAGGAGACTGATAGCTAAACACGATCCTGACAGCGTTCCCCTGCGTTACCTACATAAAGCAGCATGCCTTAAGAACGCCGGGCTAGGCTGATACGTAGCTACTGCTGTGGCTTATGTAGGATAGCGCGGAGGGAGGGAAAAAAAAAAAAAAAAAAAAAAAATAATCGCTGGGCATAAACAACTCTCTTCCGGAGAGAAAAACCTCCCTCTCCGGAGGCCAGAGCCAGCCGCAAGGAGGTTGTCAAAGGCTCGGCCAACCTTAGCCCCGCTAGCCAGGGCCAGGAGGTTTAACGGGGCAGGGCCCCAACACCCGGGAAAAGCCGCGGGGGGGCAGCGGCAGGAGGGTCCCGGCCACCTCCCCTCGGGCGGGAGGGCTTCAAGGCTCACCCAGCCCGGAACGGCACCGAGGCCTGGCCCGGTCCTCGCCTCACGGGACGGGAAGGA